CTTGCAAATCACAAGAAGATTGCTCTTCTTGGTTCACAAAGAGAAGAGTAAAAGATAAAAAATGCAAGCATACAATTAGTTCAAATGCAAAAACATTGGTTCAAATACAAAGTAAGGTACAAGGCTGCATATAAAGCAAACCTATGCCAAACTGAGTACTAACTGCAGTAATCAAACCAAACGCAACAAGGTTCCAAGCATTGTCAAACTAAGTTGCAAAGCATAAGCAAATCAGCAAAGCTAACTAAGCATGGAAAATCCAAACTAAGTTGCAAAACAAGTACAAAAAGTATACAATGCAGAGAGATAAACCAAATTACAAGCCAGAGAGGCTTGTCCTAGCCATCATCACTTTCCAGCCTAGACAAACTTTTCAGAACAAATAATATAATAAGCAAAAAAGTGCTTATGAGAGAGAGAGAGAGAGAGAGAGAGAGAGAGAAAGAGAGGACCTTTTAGTGAAAAGAGTTTGCAGTTTTGGCAAAAGCAGGTTGTTTTCAAGTTATCAAAGAAACAAAAAGATATAAAAGAGAAGAGACTGCATAACAGTCAAAGGAGGGAGGAGAACATTAGAACCTGCAGTCCCCAACCTGCATAACAACAACAAACTGCAAACCTGCTTGCAAAAACCACAAACCTGCTTGCAAAACTACAAACCTGCAGCTTGCCCAAAAACAACCTGTAACCAAAAACTCAACCCCAAACCTGCATAAACTGATATCAAAACATAAAAGCTCAAAAAACATAGTCAAAAACTATAAGCTCAAGCAAACCTGCATGGCCAAAACAAATTGTAAGCCAAGCAAACTTACTTGTCAAACCTGCAAACCTATTTAACAAAACCTGTCAAAAACTGCAAACCTGCTAGCCAAACTACAACAAGCTTGCATTTTCAAACTACAAAACTGTGAAACATAACCAAAACCCTCAAACCAAACTGAAAACAAGCTTTGCCAAACAGTTTCAGAACAAACCAAACTGCTCCAAGCTTGCCCAAAACAAAGAACAAGCCAACAATATAGTTTCAGAATCAAAATCATCATTAACACAAAAACAACCATCAATCAACAAACTCAAAACAAGCCAACAAAAGTCTGTTTCAGAAGTGATTTCATCACTCATCATCAACATCATTCCAAGAGAAAAGAAGAGTGTTTCAGAAGCAAAAAACAGTTTTCAGAATCATCATCATCAAACAATCAGGGCCAAGAAGAAAGAGGAAGAGTTTTAGAAGCAAAACAACATAGAGGTTCAGAAGCAACCAAAACAGTTTCAGAAGCATATTCATCATCAACAACAGAAATCAACAGTTCTCAGAACAATTTTATCATCATTATTCAGCATTCAAAGAGAAAGAGAGAGTTTTCAGAAGCAAAACACCAGAAGTTTCAGAGATACTCTCATCATCAATCTTCAGCAAAACAAAGAAGCAAGCAAGTTTCAGAAAACACATCATTAACAAAAGTCAGAAGCAAGCAAGTTCTCAAAAAATCATCATCATCAAACATTCAAGATTTTCAAGGAAGAAGACAAAGATACCAGAAGCCAAAGCGTAGCCATCATCTTCCTCCGCCCTTAGCCTCCAAGGAGCGCCTCCGTCTCATCACATCTCTCTCCTTCCTTTTTCTGCCCAGAAAAACGCCAAGGTACAGTTTCTTTTACTCAAACTTTTGCTGCATCTCACACATAAACATCAAAGGATTAAAACATGCAAACAATAAACATGCAAGAATAAAATGAACACAACTGTAAAAAACCCTAAAACGCGAACGAAACGAAATCATACCGTTCAAATCAAACGTGGGATGATTACAAGGAGAGTAAGAGAGTGAGGCGACGCTCCAGTGGCTAGGGCATGGAAGGAATTTCAAGTCAGAACCATGGCCTGAGAAAGATGAGACAAAGAAGAAGAATGAGAGAAGAAGAACGGCGCCGCTGCAAAGCCAAACGACAAACCCTAATGAACGAACCCCTAAAACAAAACGTTGTACAATTTCACTGGGCCTGACCCGCTCCACACAGTCCTTAAGCCCACTAACAAATGCTGGCTAGCACGCACCCCCCTCTTCCTTCCTGATTCTTGTTCTTCTCCACTTTCATTTGGGCCTACCCCTTAACATTAATCCTTAGCCCATTCCCTTTTTTTAACAATATTTTTTAATTATTAACCCTTTCTAATCAATTTGTTTTATTTCTTTAATTTATTTTATTTTGTTAATAATAAAGATTTATTTAAAAATTAATTTTATTGTCATTCTTTTATTAATTGATTTTTGTTACATTTAATTAAATACAAAAAAATACAAAAATAATGGAATCGTTAATTTAAATAAATTTTCTTTCTTTAAAACTTTTTCTTTTCATAAATCATAAAACACAAAAAATAACAATAATACTTAGTTTAAATTTTATTTGCTTATTTGTAAATAAACACCATGCATCTCATAATTCATTGATTTTCCTTATTTCATAATTTGTTATAATTTATATTTGAATCGCGACAATTCGATTTGGTTGTAACACCTAATATTTGGACATTATTATTCTTGTGAGACTCATCCCCATTTGTAAATAATTGTACCCCCATCCCCGGATACTTTTGTAATAACTTAGACTTTAAATTCCCACAATTTATTGCTTTCAATATACTGTATAGTAATTAGGGTTTGTATGGCAAGATTCAAAATCAATCGCTAGATGACCTAATACAAGACAAATGCATGAAAATGACAAACACAATTCACACTTGCACCTCTAGGGTAACCTCGCCCGTTGCTTCGGAAAATGCAATCATATCCCTCGAGTATGAGACACTCTAGCAAATGCCCCTTCGATAAACAAAGATCGTAGTCCCTCGATGACCCTCGATGTTGTCTTTGATAAAACGATCTCGTCCCTTACAAAATTGCTAGAGCGTCTCACAAGTTGCTTTCAATGATTGTATACGATGACCCGCGCCTGTCCCGTTTAACATCCTAACACAAGGTTGTTCACCAAACACAATGGTGAAATAACACTGTCAAAAGGGTTGAAAACATAAGAAAGATCTTTGAGTAAAATAGGGTAGACAACTCTTAGTTACTTGATCAAAAGCTTGCAAAACATCCTTGCCATTTTCAAACACACCTCACAACACAATTTCAAAACAACTTTCAAAACATTGAAATATCTTTTCAAAAAGACACACACCTTTGCATATATTCAAACAAGAATCATTACAAAGGTTGCCTAGACAAGATCTCTTTTTCAAAGCATTTTTCAAAATCACACACACAAAGCACCATTTCAAACGATTGAAAAGTAAAAGCAAGTGATCTAAAACAAGTAACTAAGAGCCCATGGAAAACCATGGATGAAAAGGGTGCTAATACCTTCCTTTTTCATAATCTACTCCCCGAACCCAATAAACCATCTCAAAGGTCTTTCCTGTGCTTTTTGACCTTTCCTTTGGATAAAATAAAAAGTCGGTGGCGACTCTTGCTAAACCGAACAAATGTGAACACAAACGCAAAACCTCAAGTCAGTTCTCCCACCGTATCACACTTCTCTTTTAGAAAATTGAAAGGACAACTCATTCATTTCATTATATTTATATTTAAAAATGTAATTTACCCAAGATTTTCACATACTGTATTCTCTCTCTCTTTCCCACTTGAACAAAAACAAACCCTACCTACTATTGTGTAACCCCATCTCAATCTCTGATTTTATGTACTTTGGTTCATCTTTTACCTTTGTATCTCTACTTTGTAATATTTAAACTCCTTTCTCTACTCAGATTAAGGCTTTGTGTATTTCAATTTTTCATTTCCTTCATCTTCAAGTGATATATCGATAAAATTTCATTACCCACTCATAAATGATTTCAAATGTTATATATAACACATATCTATACGAGAATGTTTCTTCCATCTTTTCGATATTACCATGTTTTACTGATTATATTAAGTGATTTATTTTTCTTTTGAGTATATATTTTTCTGGTGTTTTATTTTAAATTTGTTTTTCTTCTTTTTCTTTTGATTTTGGTGTTAAATTCTAACATCATGGATCTGTTTTACATTCAATTTTTTATTTATAGTTTTTATGTGTAAAAGATTCATGAGTTTAGTGAAATTTTGTTAATCAATTTTTTAAATTTTAAAACCGATAAAAACCAACTGACCACCCGCGTAAACTGTTAAACTACTACCCATCGAAATCGAAACTTCAGACGATCAAAATTGGATTGTTTCATTCCAACCGTGGATTTGATCAGATTTGGGTTTTGAGTTCGAATCCAACCCTAATCGACCGGTTCTCCACCCCTAAATAAAAGTTTGGGCCAGATGATCCATAGTTTACACTCGATAGATCGAATCGAATAATTCATGACTTTCTAGAACACACCCACTTAATTCGACTTATACTTTTTTATAACACTTTTGATTGAGTGAAGATACATCCTCTTATATGGCCACATTAAAATTATCTTAATCCAAATAGAATATTAAATATTAAAATTTTAATATAAATACTAAAATTTATTAAATCAATTGAAGTAAGATAAATCATAATCTTTTTCATCAAATATGGTGAAGAAAAATATAAAATCTACACCAAATCAATTTATATTTTATTAGTCTAAATGGATTCTTCCAAATTAAAAAAACAAACCAAAATGACCATTACACCCATATAGTTCCTTACTAGTCTCAATTTTTTGAATTTTGCTTTGACAGACATCCTCTCTATTTTTACTTTTCCTATTGATTTATTTACCAATGTTTTGAAAATCCAAATATAATAATGTGATATTTGTGAAGTTATGGTCCTCCCTCCCCTTTTCCATTTTTTTTTCTACCAATCACTAAAGAAAATATTTAAAGTTACACTATATGTTCCCAAAACTATAGTAATGAAGATGATATAAATTAAAAAGTGAGTTAATTTTTTTTCTTCATAAAATCAAAAGTAGAGTAAGAAAAAGAAAGAAAGAAAACCTAACAAATGGGTTTTGTATGAAGAGAGTAGAAGAGTACATACATGATACATTCTCACTCTCACTTTCCACTCAATCAGCGTGTGTGTTGTTTGTTACAAACTTCGCGAAGAAGCTAACAGATTCTCAAACAAACTGTGCTCTATTCTTTAAATCACTTTCTACTTTCACACATTCTTCAATCAAACACACCTTTTTCTTTTTCTTCAATCAAACACACCTTTTTCTTTTTCTTCATTCAAAGGTATATTGTAACACTCTGCATTTTTTGATTTCACATTTTGTTTACATTTTGTTCATTCATTGTATTTCTCATCAATGGATGCAGGTTAAGAGCCATTGAGGTTTTTCATCACTGTTTGTTGATTCTGTAAGTTTTTATGTTCTTTCTTACCTATCTATCATTTTGATATCAAAACAAAATGAGTTCAATTTAGTGATTTTAGTTTATATTGTTTGTTGGTATGTTTTGGTTTGGGTGCCCCTTTCTGGGTATCAATTTGTTTATGCATGATTAGTGTAGGAGTGAGAAAGGGTTGGATTTGTGTTCATTGTCTGAGGAATCAAGTTTTCATTTTTAGGGTTCTTTGTGGGTATAAATTAATGTGCAGAAATGTTCATATATAAAAGATAAAAGGTTTTTAAAAAGGTGGAGGTCGCGTAAAGACTTTCGCGATTTCGATCGGTACAATTGTTGGCTCTTGTCACTGCACTGATTGCGATTGTCGTTGTGTGAATTAAATTAACCACAATTTGTTCTTTAGTATAAAAACGGTGAATGCCGATACCGTTTTGTCGCGGCCGTGTTTTGTGTTTTAAAACCATAAAACCCTGTTCAGATTTTCATTTCATTTCTCTTTATTGACTAAATTACATTTGCAAAAATGTTCATATCTGAAAGCATAAAACCTTGATCGGATTTTGAATTCATTTCTGTGTGTATGTCTCCCTGTGTTCCTTTCTTTCAACATTCTTGTCAATTATATAATGTTTGATGATTGACTTGTTGAGTTTTCTTTACAAGATGGATATATTCTCTTTCCAATACCCTGTTTTTTGTTTTAGGTAAGTATTGTTTTACTGTGGAAATCTCAGTTTGTGTGATTTTGAATTTACAGACTATTGACAACATGGATTTAGAAGGAAGTGAAAGGGATTCTGTGCTAACTACTACGCAAGTGAGCATAGGTGGATTTGGCACGGATGTCAAAGCTTATGATCTTGTGTCATTCTTGGAATCTGAGATCGGATATGTAGATAGATGTCGGCTGAAGACTTCTTGCACTCCTCCGGAGTCATATCCAGAATTTAATATCAGTGATCCTAAACAGAAGGAAAAAACAGATGATTATAGAAAGGTGGCACCTCATGCCTTTGTGCATTTTACTCTGGCAGAATCTGCAACCGAGGCCCTCAATGCTGCAGGTCGCTGTGAACTAATTTTGAACGGTTGCCCATTAAAGGTCATCTGTGGGCCACATAATCCAAACTTCCTGAATAAAAGGAGGCGAACTGCGGCTCCTTTTAAGATGTCAGATGTCATCGTTGAAATTGGGACTTTGGTTAGCCTATCAAATTTTACTGTTGCTTGGAGAGGACCCGCTAAAGGGGTAAACTTTCTAGTGGACCCTTTTGATAGCATGTGCAAGCTTTGTTTCAATCGAGATGTTGCGTTCTCTCTCAAAGGAATGGCTAAAAAGGTAGTGATAAAGTGTGATTTTAAGGTGGGGTTCTTGGTTAGAGACATATTGGAGATTAAAAGATATGATGATACATCGTATCATGTTGTTTTATTACATCTAGCTTCACCACCTTTGGTATGGTACAGAACTGCTGATGACGATATTGAAGAATCAGTTACCATTGATTTGTTGGATGACGATGATCCTTGGATCAGAACCACTGACTTTACCCCTAGCGGGGCCATTGGTCGATGCAGTTTTTATAGAATTTCAATCCCGCCTCGTTATGGTGCAAAATTGAATAAGGCATTGGAATATCTGAGATGCCAAAGAGTGCAACGGGTTCAGCTTACACGGCCACTTAGGATACTAAATGAACCTGATTTTGGGGTGCCCATGTCAGATACTTTTTTCTACATAGATTTTCAGAAGGACATTTCATTTGATATAATGTTCTTGGTCAATGCAGTTGTGCATAGAGGAATATTCAACCAGTATAGTTTATCTAACCATTTTTTTGAACTGCTGAGAAATCAACCTAAGGATGTCAGCGTAGCTGCCCTGAAGCACTTATGTACTTACAAGCGCCCGGTGTTTGATGCATGTAAGAGGCTCAAAGCAGTCCAAGAATGGTTGCTCAGCAATCCAAAACTTTATCAGATCTCCAAGCAGTGCGATGATGTTATGGAGGTTAGAAGACTGGTTGTTACTCCAACAAAAGCCTATTGTATAGCCCCAGAAGTTGAATTGTCTAATAGGGTCCTCCGAAATTTTAAAGAGGTTTCAGACCGATTCTTGAGAGTTACCTTTATGGATGAAGGAATGCAAACACTTAATGTATATGCTCTTAGCTATTATGTTGCTCCCATTGTGAAGGAAATCACATTAAATTCCTTTAAACAGAATACAAGAATATATAAAAGGGTTAGGACAATCCTGGAAGATGGGTTTTACTTTTGTGGCCGAAAATATTCATTTTTGGCTTTTTCATCGAATCAACTTAGAGATCGTTCTGCATGGTTTTTTGCCGAAGACAAAAACATAAGCTGTGATCATATAAGAAGTTGGATGGGAAAATTTAATCAGAAGAATATTGCAAAGTGTGCGGCTAGAATGGGACAATGCTTCTCATCTACGTATGCATCAGTGGACGTTGCTGCGAATCAAGTTAACTCGATGCTACCAGATGTTGAGAGGAATAGTTATGTTTTTTCTGATGGCATTGGTATCATCACTACTGATCTTGCAGATGAAGTAGCTGAAAAATTGAAATTGGACAAGGTACCCTCCGCTTACCAGATCAGGTATGCTGGTTTTAAAGGGGTTGTAGCCTGTTGGCCTTCTAAAGGAGACGGAATCAAACTTTCTTTGAGGCCCAGCATGAACAAGTTTCAGTCTACTCATACTACCTTGGAAATCTGTGCCTGGACTAGGTTTCAACCTGGTTTTCTTAACAGGCAGATTATAACATTGCTTTCAGCTCTGGACGTGCCCGACGAAATATTCTGGAAAATGCAGGAGAGCATGATTTCAAAGTTAAACCAAATGCTCGTTGACGCAGAAGTTGCCTTTGACGTTCTTACTAAATCTTGTGCTGAGCATGGAAATGCTGCAGCAATAATGTTAAGTTGCGGCTTCAGTCCCAAAACAGAACCTCATCTTAGAGGCATGCTAAATTCTATCCGTGCTGCGCAGCTTTGGGGCCTTAGAGAAAAGTCTAGGATTTTTGTTTCATCTGGGAGATGGTTGATGGGTGTTTTAGATGAGTTTGGTGTGCTTGAACAAGGGCAATGCTTTGTTCAAGTTTCTACTCCTTCTCTTGAAAATTGTTTCGCAAAGCACGGCTCAAGATTTTCAGAGACAAACTCCCTGCATGTGGTTAAAGGTCTTGTGGTGATAGCCAAAAATCCATGTCTTCATCCTGGAGATGTGAGAGTTTTGGAAGCAGTTGATGTCCCGGATTTATATCATTTAAATGACTGTCTTGTTTTCCCTCAAAAGGGAGAAAGACCCCATACAAATGAAGCTTCTGGAAGTGACCTTGATGGGGATTTGTACTTTGTCACATGGGATGGAAATCTCATTCCACCTAGTAAGAGGAGCTGGACACCTATGGAGTACACTGCTTCAGAAAGCAAGCTTCAAATGCGGCAAGTCACTATCCGCGTAAGTGTTTTTTGAATGTTTTCTATGTAGTTCCATAGTTAATGTTTGTATGCTCTGTATATGAACGCAAATGGGTATAATAATATACAGGACTTATGTTTTTCATATGAATTTTTCATAGCATCACACCTTTGATTAACAATTCAAGTGACATGTTTATTACAACAATGACTTGCCAAAACTAATAAAATTTCATGTTGGGGATGAGGAGATATTTCTTCTGATAGAGCATAGAAATTTGAGTACGCAAATAACTGTTTCTAATTTCACACATATAATTTGATAGACATACAATTATAACCTCTGATTTATATCTTATGGGTGTGTTATCTTGTTGAGTATGTATTGCAAAACAAGTCATCCGTATTAAGTTATTTTGTCTTCCACACTGCAGGCCATCATTGAGTTTTTTGTCAAAAACATGGTGAATGAGCATTTGGGTTCAATCTGTAATGCACATGTGGTACATGCTGATTCCAGTGACTATGGTGCTTTGGATGAGAAATGCATACACTTGGCTGAGTTAGCAGCCACTGCTGTTGATTTTCCAAAGACTGGCAAGCTTGTCATTATGCCTCCTAATCTGAAACCCAAGCTGTACCCTGATTTTATGGGGAAAGAACACCACCAATCATACAAGTCGAAGAAAATCCTGGGCAGACTTTACCGGCGTATCAAAGACGCGTATGATAAAGATATTGATGCACCTGAAATGAACTGTGTGTCCGGTGATATAAATTATGATACAGATCTTGAGGTTCCAGGATCTGCTGATTTTATTGATGATGCATGGGAACAAAAGTGCTCTTATGATGGCCAGTTAACTGGATTACTGGGTCAGTACAAAGTGAAAACTGAAGAAGAAGTTGTCACTGGACAGATCTGGTCCATGCCTAAATACAACAGTAGGAAGCATGGGGAACTTAAGGAGAGGCTGAAGCACTCATACAGTGCTCTCAAAAGAGAATTTAGGCAAACCTTTGAGAAACCGAATTTAGATGTTGGAGCGTTGAGTGATGAAGAAAAAAATTTGATGTATGAACAGAAAGCTTCTGCCTGGTATCAGGTGACATATCATCCTAAATGGGTCAAAAAAACCCTCGAATTGCAAATTAAAACCTCAGATGACCAAGAGACAGATAGTTTGAAGAATGTGATGTTGAGTTTCCCTTGGATTGCTGTTGATTACCTAGCTCGCACAAAGATAAGGAATCGGAAAGTTGGAAAATTTGATTCAACCAAGCCAATTGATTCACTGGCAAAATATCTATCTGAAAGGTTATAGTTCTATGTCGCTCTATCATGGCTACAAGGCCGCTCTGCCACCGTCAATAGGTTTTCCTTTTGGCATTCAGTTAAGCTACTTTAGTTGTAACGAGTTATGGATTTTTTTACTTGCATTACCCGCATTTGCTTTTGAGAGTTAAGATTGTAACAAGTGTTCTTGATACTTTCAATTGTAATCTGGCCTTGTGTTAGGCTTGTGATTATAATG